ATACTTACTCATTAGCCTCAAATATTCGCTCCTCTTTAATACTCTCTCCTGAGAACTCTGTTCTTTTCCGTAGGCGCTCCGGACGTTTGTAAGGACCGGTCTGTCCTAAGACACTTTCATCTATCTCCTTCTTGACTGTTTCTACTCCCTGAAAGGACAACATCCCCGTTAGGTTCATTTACTGTTTCCCCCCATTCCCCAGAAACTGGAAAGCACTTCTGCTGAAGGAAGAAATAAATACATAAAGAGGCCACAGGTTATTCTCCTCTCCCTTAGTCACCAAATGCTTCTCTGCTGATGTCTACTGGCATGCACACCAGTACCAAGGCCTTCTGCTTAAGAAGTCAACAGTCTAGAACACCAACTGGATGGTTGTATGGGATCTACCCGAAGAAAAGAGTCCCATATATTCAGCTCCAACCCCCTACCATGGGCAGGGACCCCTTCCCCTAGAGCAGCTTGCTCCAAGCCCCTGTGTCCAACCTGGCCTTCAACACTGCCAGGGATGGGGCACCCTGTGCCAGCACCTCAGCACCCTCACAGGGAAGAGCTTCTGCCTAAGATCTAACCTGAACATGCCCTGTTTCAGTTTCAACCCATCACCCCTTGTCCTGTCGCTACAGACCCTGATGACGAATCCCCTCCAGCATCCTTGTAGCCCCCTTCAGATACCAGAAGGCTGCTCTGAGGTCACCACGCAGCTCTGGACACAGTCAAACCTTACAGCTGACAGGTACCTGAGAAATAGCTTTGAAGGCTGCTGTCCTGCCCAATTTCTCCCCTCCTTTTGTCACTGACTCTGCAGACTGCTTTGCTGTTTTTGCTGCTCCTTCCACACCTTCCTTTATCTTCCGGCCAATATCACTCCTACTGACTTCATCCAAACTCTGCAAGAAAACACAACATGAAAGAAAAGCTGAGGTCAGGTGAAACTGCTGGAAACTGATACTGAGTAACTCCTCTTTGGCATGAGGAGGTCTTTAGCATTCACACAGGACGAAACTAACCCAACCTAAGGTGAGCACACAGCTACATGTCACAGGGGAGACTGGCTGGGACACTATGGCTTGGCACTGCAGCATTGTCCAACACCTCTTTGCAGAACAGACTGGGCTGCTCATGGGACCACACACATCTGTAATAGCTGCTACCCAGAGGTTTTAACTCTTTTTTCCCTTGATATCTGCAAGAAGGACCAATGATGCCAGCATTTAGATAGCCAAGCCCTCCCCCTTGAAACAATCTGCTTCTTCAGAGCAGGTACAGGAGCAGTGGAGATGGCTCTCTGCTATGCAACTCTTGCTGCACAATCAGGAAACACTCTTCTCAATCCCACACCTTCATACCCATCACTTCAGCTGTTTTTACAGAGCCAGGACCTTGTATACAAGATGTTAAAAGGACTCTGCCAGCAGCTGGTCGCCCTTTTGTTCTGCACTGGCACACGTCAGATCCTCAGGGATCCTGGAATTGTCACCAGCAACAGGCAACCAACCCTGGATGGCTCACAAGCCACAGCTTCAGAGGAAGAGAAATGACAGGGTGCCAGTACCAAATGGTTTTCCCTGGTTATCAATGGCATTTGGCTGATGAAGATGCTCACAGCACCTTCAACAGCACTGAAAAGATACCAGTTATGTCCCCCTCAGCAAAGAGCTTTATGTCCAGCTCGTAACTACACGCAGCTAAGCCACACCAAAGCACATTTACACAGATGGAGAGTGAAGGAGCAGAGCAGAACGTGGGGACCGGCTTCTTCCACAGCTGCCTTTTACCTCTTTCACTGTCCCAGTTATTTCTCCAAGTTTCTTTTTAATCACTTCTGAGGTCTTCACTGTTTCAGATTCAATGGTTTTCTGTGGGGAAAAGAAAACATGCTGCAGGTAACTGAGAAGGGAAAACACTCAAGCCCAGTTTAGCACACAGCACAGCCCCTTAATGCTGCCACTGAGAGCAAAAGGGCTCCACCATAGGGAGCATCCTCCTTGAGGAACTACCATCAGAGGGGCATTTATGCAACTTGTGCTGTTTATAGCTCTTCAAAGACTGCAAAATAAGGGTTTAAATTCTAATGCCTCCTTCTTTCATCTGCTCATTATTTGGGAAGTCCAGTGAAGGGGCTGCTGGAAAGATTTTCCACTCAATCCCAGTATTTCCAGCCAAGCAGAACTTCCCATGAGAACAGACATGCTGAATTCAGGTCATCTGCACAAAGATTCAAATCTACATTCACAATGGTAACAGCTCAGTGAGTGGGCAATGAAAGCACCAAAGGGATTCCTGACTTACATATTTCCTCCTCGCTTCTCGAAGAGCATCAGATTCTTCCAGCTTTTTAGCTTCATCTCGGAATTTCTTAATGCTTTCTTTCATCTCCTTGTTTTTCGCTAATTCCTGTTTGATGTTCTCCACAAAGCCTGATATAAAACCCTTTCTTCCTCCCGAAGAGTAGCATCTAGACTAAAGAAAAGCATTCCATGTTGTAGGATCCAACAAGACATTAAATCAGACAGGAGTCAAAGCCAGCAGCTAGATTTACTTAAACCAAGCACTGAGTCACTTCTAACAGAGTAAATGTTGTGGGGAATACAAAGCCACCTTGAAAAAGCAGCAGCTTAACCTCAAAAGAGCCAATGTCCAACACTTGATCAAATACATCTTAACAAGTAGAAACTTTCCACCTACAGCTGGTGATTCTCAGAGATCCATCCCAATCGAGCAGATCAATGCTCTGATGAGAAAGCACTTTTGACCTGAAATAAGAAGTCGGCTGTTAACCAACCTGATGGGTCTCTAAACCAGGCGGGCTCATGCCATACACTGTACCCCTGGGGACTGCAGGAACTGGGTATCTTCTGGATATCAGCCACATGCCATTGATGAGACATTTCTGCAACAAAAAGGGAAGGTTTGGTGTACAATACAAGAGGACAGAAACCCAGAAGAGCCCAAAAAGAAAAGAAAGAACACCGCAAACAGACAATATTCATTGTGCTCCTGAGAAAACATCCCAAAGTGCTGCCAAGAAACACTGGAGGCTGATTGTAAAATCACAGCATCCCAGCCTGGGCTGGGTTGGAAGGGACCTTAAAGCTCCTCCAGCTCCAACCCCTGCCAGGGCAGGGACCCCTTCCACTGGAGCAGCTTGCTCCAAGCCCCTGTGTCCTGCCCCTGAGCACTGCCAGGGATGGGGCAGCCACAGCTCCCCTGGGCACCCTGTGCCAGCGCCTCAGCACCCTCACAGGGCAGAGCTTCTGCCTCAGAGCTCATCTCAGCCTCCCCTACTGAAGTTTAAACTTTGGGCAGAAAACACCAACCACCTGCACTGCCCATGGCACCACACAGCGGGTTTTAAAGCCGCAACCTCTGCATTCAGCTCAACACTTGTGTACATTCAAGCTTGGCAAGAGCCCGGTAGAGCCGGGCTGCAGCGGCCTGGGCTCGCCCTGCGCTGAACGGCGACAAAGGAGCCACGGCCCGGTTCCAGCCGCGCCGCAGCCCTCACAGAGCCCCGGGCAGGGCCCGAGCCGCAGCTCCGGGGCGGGAAGGGAGCCGGTAACCGGTAACCGGTACCCGCACCTCGGCACCGGCCGCGCCGAGCACTCCCCGCGCGGCCCAGCGCGCTCAGCCCCGCGCTCCCCCTCACGGCATCCCCGGCTCGGTACCGCGGCCCAGCGCTGCCTCCCGCCGCCCCTCGGCCATCAGCGGAGCCGGACCGAGCCCCCGAGCGGAGGCGGTCGCGGTCCCAGTCCCGGTCCCGGCCCCGCTCTCACCCGACAACCGCCGGCCGCCGCCGCCGCCATCTTCCAGCGCAGCGTGTGACCTTCGGGCGGCGCCGCGCAGTGACGTCATGGAGCGCGCTGCCCACGTGCACCGGGGCAGGAGGCGCGGAGGGCCCGGGGGTGCGGGCGGTGCCCTACGGAGCGGTCCCCGGGGGTTCCCCCTGGCCCGGGTCCGGGTCCCGCAGCGCTGAGTGCGGGGCTGGCGGGCAGGGGGAAGGACGTGGGGCTGCGGGAGCGAGGCCAGAGGAGGCCACGGAGCTGCCGCGAGGGCTGGAGCAGCTCTGCTCTGGAGCCAGGCTGAGAGAGCTGGGCTGGGGAAGCCTGGAGAAGAGAAGGCTCCTGAAGGGGAGACCTGAGAGCAGCTCCAGTGCCTGAAGGGGTGCAGGAAACCTGGAGAGGGGCTTGGGACAAGGGATGTAGGGACAGGCCAAGGGGAATGGCTTGAACCTGCCAGAGGGGAGACTGAGATGAGCTCTGAGGCAGAAGCTCTTCCCTGGGAGGGTGCTGAGGCGCTGGCACAGGGTGCCCAGAGAAGCTGTGGCTCCCCCATCCCTGGCAGTGTTCAAGGCCAGGTTGGACACAGGGGCTTGGAGCAAGCTGCTCCAGTGGAAGGGGTCCCTGCCCGTGGCAGGGGTTGGAGCTGGATGAGCTTTAAGGTCCCTTCCACCCCACACCACTCCATGGTTCTAGAAATCCTGTCTTGGGTATAAAGCTTCATCACTCCTGGCACAAGAACTCCCTCTCAGAAAGACCCACTTTTACTATTTGTACTGTTAAAAACATGTTTGTTGCAGTTGGTGAAATATTCCACCTTCTGCCTTCCCCCTGCTGCACCTCACCCTGCCTGGGACCTGGAAACCTCCACTATAAGGAGCTCTTTTAAATCCCTTTTCAGTTCAGGCCTTCAGAATGGCACTGACACACCTGAAGGTAGAGGATATGTATTTATTGTTCCTTTTGCTTTGAAATGAGCAGCGCCACTGGAGCAAAATGAAAGTACCAGCCTTGCACCAAGAGTGGGTATTGCTTAAGTCTGAACACAGGACAGGGAGGTCCCCTGCACACCAAAGCCATCCAAACCCCAACACCAGTGTGCATCATGTTAAAGACGCAATGGCGAGGAACAGTCTTTCTTGACACTTCACAGGACACAAGTTCTAGTTTACTGAAGTTACAGAGAGCTTTGCAAGCAGAGGAGGTGCTGCCAGGACCAGATGCTGCGTCTGAAATCTTGAGTTTCATTTATTATCAAAGTCATTACTGTTTACATCTGTAATGTCAACGAGATGCCACAACTACAAAAAAAGATTGTGCACGTTGCAGTTCCAATGCAAAAACCCAGTAAAATGGAAATCCATTCGTTAAAAAAGTAATTAAAATTACTCCAAGAAAGCAACTGAATCTTTTCTTTTTTAAACACCTTTACATCCAGTCAAATTAAAATGGTTAACAAGGAAAAAAAAAAAAGTACAAATTCCAAAAGTGTGGAAGCAGTGTTAAAAAGGCAATTCCTGCTTAAGCATTCCTGTCAATTCGCACGTCAATCTCCCTGCCCCGGAGCTGGATCCCGTTCATCATGCGGCAGGCACGCTCGGCCACCTCCGGGGACTCAAACCTCACCACCCCACAGCCTTTGGACTTCCCATTCTCCATCTTGATGTCAGCGTATAGCACGTGGCCTGGGGAGGAGAAGAGAACGGGTTTGTTGAACCTTCTCTACCTTTAAGCGTGCCCAGTGGTTGATTCTGGTGTCTGAAGGGGGCTACGGGGATGCTGGAGGGGACTCGTCATCAGGGGCTGGAGCAATAGGACAAGGGGTGATGGGTTCAAACTGAACAGGGGAAGTTCACATTAGATCTTAGGCAGAAGCTCTCCCCTGTGAGGGTGCTGAGGCGCTGGCACAGGGTGCCCAGAGAAGCTGTGGCTGCCCCATCCCTGGCAGTGTTCAAGGCCAGGTTGGACACAGGGGCTTGGAGCAAGCTGCTCTAGGGGAAGGTGTCCCTGCAAGTGGTAGGGGGTTGGGACTGGATGAGCTTTAAGGTCCCTTCCACCCAAAGCAGTCTAGGATTTCATGAGTCTATGGTTTAGAACTTCAGGCTGCAGGACAGCTTTCCCAAACTGCTGTTTTAAAGGAGCATGCTTGGTTTAAGAGATGAATTAATTCAGTGTTTCTCTTGATTCTCACTCCAGCAGCAGCAGGTGAATGGAGCACCCACAAAGAGGCTGTCTGCATGATAAACCAGCCCAAGATGGAGAAGGGCACCAATACTTAGAGAAAGGAGGGTGTTAATGGATCATCAATTGCTTCCCAACACTCAGAACAGACATCCTCACATGGCTTGACAAATGTTAAGATCTAGCATTTCAGTAAGTCTGAGTGAAACTTCAGTTCAAGATACTGGTGTTGGGGACACAGAGACCCAGGAACTGCTGTTTAATTCCTATTCCAGAGTGACAACCAGCAATAAAATAACTTACCACATTCATTAAATTTATCTTTCAGCATTTTCCATGTAAAATCAAAAGGCAGCTGTGAAAAAGAGAAGAACAGACCATTACTGAGGAGCTCCTGAACAGCTTGCAGGCACTGCCAGCTCTTCAGAACACGTTTTCCATCCCGGGACTTAGCTCTGGTCCCATTAAGGAAATGGCTTCAGCTCACAACAGCTGGAACTGCCCCTCTGGCTGCAGTCAGTACTGGATGTTGTGACTGGAGCACAGAGATGAACGTGTCAGTACTGATCAATTGCACGATGAGTGAAGGACAGGTAGGAAAGGGGCTACTCACGTTTCTCACAAATATCTGACACGCTTTCCTGGCCACCCCAGGTGCAGGTCCTCCAGTTCCTCCAAGGGAGCCTGCAAAGTTGCCTGCAAAGTTTCCACGTTCCATGTCCATTGTTCTCTCAAAATTGCTTCCCATGGGCAGTCCCATTCGCTCTATGCCTGCTCCCATGCCCTGCCCCATCGCAGGGCCCATCCTCTCCATATTAGTGGCTCCAATGCGCTCCAAGCCCATCCTCTCCATGCCAGCAGCTCCCATACGATCTATTCCTATTCTTTCCATAGGAGCAGCACCTATGCGATCCAAACCGGCTGGCATCCTCTCTATCACCTGACCCATTCCAGTTCCCATTCCAGCAGGGACCATACGCTCGATGCCTATACCCATTCTATCCATGCCAGAGCCCATCCGTTCTACGCCTGATCCCATTCTGTCCATAGTGGTGCCAACGCGGTCGATGCCAGCCCCCATCCTCTCGATGCCAAAGCCTATGCCAGAGCCCATCCGTTCCATGCCAGATCCCATCCTCTCAATAGCTGGGCCCATCCTCTCGATGTTGGGAGCAATGTGATCTATGCCTAGAGGGGCCATTCGGTCAATTCCTGACCCCATCCTCTCCACGTTGGAGCCCATGCGATCTAAAACAAGCCCCATCCTGTCCATTTCTGAGCCTACTCTCTCCATCCCATGCCCCATCCCGGAAGGGATTCTTTCTATTCCTGCGCCCATACGATCAATGCCAGGTGCCATCCTCTCAATCCCAGGAATGCTGGCATTTCCACCACCTGGAACACAACACACAGGTTATCAGTAATCACACAGTGACAAACCATAACCCTAATGCATGCTGAGACAACTGAAATGCTTTAAGCTTCCTCATGACCCTAAAGCAACTGCCCACGACATGCTCTGCTGCTGCAGGATGTGAAGCAAAGGATGGTAAGAAGAGTTCTGTTGTTGATTACACACACCCCATAGTGACTACAACCTGTTCAAGGTCAGGTTGGATGGGGCTTGGAGGAGCCTGGTCTAGCGGAAGGTGTTGGAAGGGGGTTGGAACTGGATGATATTAAGGTCCCTTCCAACCCAAACCATTCCATGATTCTATGATCTTGTCCCAACTATAGTTTGGACAGAGGAGCTTGAGGAGCTTAACTTGGGTACACACAAAGAAAGCCTTCCCCCCCCAAAAAGAGAATTCTGAAGGCATTTGCAAACCTGGGAGAAGATCAGGTGGCAAAAGCTGTGTTTTAAATATACTCTTAGCTGGTAGCTGTCCTGTGCAGCACACTGCAGAATACACAGCAATAGTGAGTAGTAGCTCAAATTACAGTTCAAATAGAGACTGCTTGGAAGAGGAGTGAAGCCACATCCTCCTTGCCATACAGCTCAAAGATTACTTCAGCCAAGCCAGGGAGAGACTTCTACAAGCAAACCTTCCCCAACCCTGAGAGCCCTCCTATCACTAGACCTCCGAGAGAAAGAAAGCCATTCCCTCACTAGACCCACAGCACAATAACTATTACAGCCACAAAGCATGCTTGGCCTTTTCATGTGCAAAGGAACACCAAAAGGCTGCCTGGGCCCACTGGGTTCCTGCATCTGCCATATAAAATCCCTTGACTGAGTTGTCCTGCCTCTGCTGCAGAGCCTTTGCTGTGATTCCTCCACTAAAGGATCACTCCTCTATGGTTTAGGCCATTTTGCTGTTATATGAAGGCTTTGAGCTTATCTAGCAAAAGAAGTTTAGCACTGCAGCACTGTAAGAAGAAAATCATGGAGTCTGATTTCTGCTTGATGGGGAAAAAGCCTTGTAGAAAGTGTGTACTTCAGTTACCTACATATATTTAGTGAAGAGGAAAAAGATACGTAACTCTGAATTGAGCTTATGCTCAAGGAAACCAAAGTGTGCCCATTTACAAGCAGCACTTGGGCCAATTTTAGAGTCATCCGAGTTGTATCAGAAACTCAGTTTCTTTACAACTGAATTTCAAGTTAACAGAGCACAGCAGTGAGAGCATCACCAGAGCTGTGTGTACACACAGGACAGACCCTCATATAAGACATGAAAAACGTTCATGTTCTGAGTCTTCCCACAAAGCACCATCAATCCCTTTTTTCCCATCTCAAAGCTGCTGCAGAGCAGCACTGTGCCGTTCCTGCTCACTTCAAATACCATTTTACACATTCCCTACATTGACAGTCTTCCTTTTCCCACTGGGATTTAAAAGGCAAGACAGAAGAACACTAATTTTAGTGCTGCAGATGAGCGTATTCTCTTCAATCAGCTGACAGGTCTGATGGGCTTCCCAAAATGTCTGGGAAGAAGGGAAGGAAATTAAGGTTTTGCTGTAATAGCCTTCCTACCACCTAGCCTCAAGTTCTGTTCTAGTGACACGATTGGGTCACAGATTACTCAGAACCTTCCTCTTTGCCATGCATGTGTACAGGAGTTTAGCATGAAGCTTCAAGACATGAGACAGTGTGTCAAGGCTGCCCAAAGGTTTTCTGTCACTTCTGACATTCCATTCACAGCACCACAGATGGATCTAGTGGATCCACCTGCCTCCTGTACAGCTCTCAGGGGGTTGATCAAAACCAGACTATCACAGCAAAGGTATATAAAATATAGGCTGGTTTGTTGTAACAACACATGCCCAATTGGTACATACAGTTTGGGTAGGAGAAGCAGGTAGTGGAAGGGTATAGCTCAGTGTACTCACCTATTCCTCTCTCCAAGGTATCTCCAAAACTACGAGACATTCCCATTTCATTTCTTCCAAATTCTCTTTCGAATCCTCCACCCATGGCACGATCCATGTCTGCAAAGACCAAGTTTGAGATGTCCTACATGGCTCCCAAGAGAATGTTTTAATGTGGTATCAGTTTTAAAGATTAAGATCAAGGCAAGGTTGTTCTTATGTTCTCCTGAGCATTTTACCATGGCTTCTTGAGATGCAAAACCCAACCCAACACAGGACTCGTCTCTGCATGGACAAACACACTTGAGGTGGCCACTTTGCTCTGGAGCCACCTTTCTGGTGCATAGAGAGAGTGGTTTCTCTCTTCTTAAACTAGTCCTTAAAGACAACCCCAGTGATTCACTCATGGCCTCTGAGCTGCAAAAAAAGCTTTCAGGAACACAGCTCAAGAGTGGGATACAACAACCCCCAATGCCTACCGCTCATTCTGCCCATGTTCATTCCAGCTGGGAAGCGGCCAATGTTCTCAATGCCGAAGGGACCCTCCATTCCTGAAAGAGAACATTTTTCAGGGATTTTTTAGCAATACATTTCAACTTAACTCCACGCTTTCCCCACCAGCTGCTTTCACAGAACATTCCCACGGGCACCAAGACAACTCGGTACCACAGACTCACAAACCCCAAAGTTTGGTCAGACTTTGGTCCCAACACACATGACAAACACTGGTTGTGTTTTAGGTGAGGTATGAACCCTGCCCCATACACCTACAGCAGCTTTAGTCCTCCTCAAAAAGGGACAAGTTACTGCTAAATCAGTGATGATCTCAAAGAACACAAATGCTGCCAGATACACAGCTACGTTAACACGACTTGCAGAAAGTCCAAGCTAGAGACATGCCAAAAAACACAGCTTACCTCCCATTTTATTCATTCCAAAGCCCATGCCTTCCATTCCCATTCCTCAAAATAAAAGAGAAAACTTTATATAGCAGATGTAATTCCACAACACTTAGCCATTAGCAGAAAACCAAGACCATACAACATGTCCACAGCTTACATGGGATAACTCTGAGGAGATTGCAACATTCCTTCTCAGAAAACAAAGCAGCAAAGGGGGAAAAAAAAAACCCATAGGCATTTATCAATTGAAAGCTGAATGTGTGCTACTTTTTAGGTGGCTCTTTCAAAACTTGTGCTATTGAAACAGATCCTCAACAAAAGATTTGCAAGCCCACTAATCGGTGTTAAAAGTGAGAGATGGTTTTCAAAGTTTCCTGTATGATTTGCAGTGTCTGCTGCTCATGCTCAAGAGTCAGAAAATGAGAGCTGTGCCTTGACCACAGTGAAAAAAAAAAAAATAAAAATGGAGCAGTTGGTTAAATTCAGGTTTTCATTATCAAGCTCATGACTTAGCCCAACAGAAACTCATTTGGCTTTAACACTCCTAATACACTTGGACTTTTTGTGTAGGCAGAACAAAGCTAGCTACCTTCTACACAGCTTAAAGCTCTCATGAAACAAAAGCATAGGAGTAATCTTCTTACCTCCAGGTCCCATGTTGCCCATTCCCATGCCTTTGTTTAAATGATTTGCATCAATAGGTTGACCTCCAGGTCCTAATCCCATGCCAATACCACCAAGACCATCTGAAGGAAATATTCAGATATCAAAAAAGCCTTCTTTCCATAGTTTGACAAAACAGCAAGTTTTATTCTTAAGTAATTGACTTCCATTCTCCAAAAAGCTTGCTGTGTTCCCACTTTGGGGCATGTACTTAAAGCATGAAAGTGTAGAGTAAATCAGAGTAGATGTGTCTTGAAATAGACTAAAAACTAGCTCAATTTTTCCTCATCATCCATTTGCCACCTTATTGCTGAGAAAGCTTGGTTGGTTGGGTTTAGGCTGACTCCTGAAAAATAACTGGCTAGAACACTGCTTGTTTTGTGCAACTCCTCGATCTAAGGAGAAAAGAGTGGGCAATTTAGGATAAAGATCTTCTAACCTTTGCACAATGTTACCCTTGGCTGACAATTGGTTTATTTCCACCTTTGCCAAGGTTCTTTCCTTATAGAATTTAACCACAAAGTTCAACCTATGGTTCTGACAGCCACCTATGGAATTCAGAGCACACAGCCAGCCTCTTCTCTGAGCAAACAAAGCATATCATTCCCAGGCAGGATTTGGAATCTTCCTGTACCCCATTGAATTAAGGATTCCCGAGTCCAAAAAGCAAGAAAAAAAAAAAGCCCTCAGATTTTCCTTCATCAGGAAGGAATAGTTCTCTGCTTGCATTTGCAGCAAACACCTTAATGGCACCCTCTGCCTGTAAGAAGAGGACTTCCTCATTTCCAGCTCAGCATAATAAATACAGGACGTGTTGACTCTTGTTTTAAACCCAACACAAGATACCCCTTCCCCACCCCAAGAAAGGCCAAGAAACAGTTTTCCACTGGCATTTGTTGAGTTTTATAGAAAGAGAAAGAAACTGAAACCCAGGGACTTGCTCTTGAAGAAGAGGTGTATCATTACAGAGAGTCAAGGCAGCAGTAACCCCACAAACAATACTGCTGCTGAACAAGGCTTTGACAGAGACACAGGAAACTAATTCAGGGATGGGTTGGTTGATGATCACTACAGTTGTGTGAGCAGCACACCATAGGTTTGGTTCCCATCCTGAAGGAAACAGCAACCAGTTGGATGAACAGGATGACATTAACATCCCACTTCACATTTCTGCTGTATTTAAGTGTGAAGCCTGTGCTCTCCTGCCTCTAACTCTTCCCTTCCAACCCAGACTCTTCCTGTTCAATACTTTCAGTATCTCATCACAGCAGGGTTGAAGTTGGAAGGGACCTCTGGAGGTCTTCTACTCCAAGCCCACCAGCTCAAACAAGGCCACCTACAGCTGGGTGCCCAGGACCACCTCCAGAAAGATCTTGAGTACCTCCAAGGACGGAGACTCCACAGGCTCTCTGGGCAAGCCATGGCTCCAGTACTCAGTCACCCCCCCAGAAATGATTCTTTATATTCAGCTGGAGTCTCCTGTGTTTCAGTTACTGCCTCTTGCCCTGTCACTGGGCACCACTGACAAGGGTCTGGCTCCCTCTTCCTTACACCCTCCTCCAGGTATCTACATACACTGATAAGATCCCCTTTAGAAGTGTGAAGACCTGGAAGATTCTCAGGTCCTCAATTCAGCCCTTTCAGCTGAAGAACACCAGATATGAAGAATACCACCCCATAAAAGGAGGCACACCTTTCCCTACTGACTAATTACTTTGCCATTAAATCCCACTATTAACAGTGGTTTTACAAGGCATGGGGGTCTCTGAATTGCAACTGAGACATTTGGAAGCCTTAAGCATCCTGTTTAAGACAAGCTTCTAGCTATGAGCTGAAAGGAGTATCCAAAACGACAAGGCTGAGCAGCTCATTTCCCCCTTTGATACTAGTCAGACCATTTGGATCTCAGCTTTCCAAAGTCTGAACCAGAGTCTTAATGGGGCTGGCATCAGGCCCCAGTTGCTTAACAGCAAAATAAAACTAGTAACATGTTCAGTCATGGAGGAGAGACTTACGAGGGAGTTGCTGGGGTCGCTCTGGAGGGAAGAAGTCTCCCTTGGGAAAGGCTCGTTCATCCTGAAGACAATTCAACACATGGAAGTTTGCAAGAAAAGGAAGAAATTAGTTCCTGCCCTCTCCCCTTTTTCTTTTAAATTAAAACACAGCAACCTCAAGGTAAAGCAGTCTTTATTCTATTTATGATTGCGCTTCAGCAAAATAAGCAGAATTAACCCTCCCTGATGGTGCTGACATAACTAGGAATTAAGCAAGTCACAGAGTCATGAAATGGTCTGGGTTGGAAAGGAACTTCAAGCTCACCCAGTTCCAACCCCCTGCCACGGGCAGGAACACTTTCCACTAGAGCAGCTTGCTCCAAGCCCCATCCAGTCTGGCCTTGAACACTGCCAGGGATGGGGCAGCCACAGATTCTCTGGGCACCCTGTGCCAGCGCCTCAGCACCCTCACAGCGAAGAATTTTTTCCTTCTATCTGTCCTGAATCTCCTCTCAGTTTGAACTCATTGCCCCTTGTCCTACCAGTACAGTCCCTGATGAAGAGCCCCTCTTTGGCATCCAAAGTCACACACGCATGTGTCCCACCACAATAATTCAACCCGACCTTGAAACCGTCCATTGCCCAAAACCAGGAGCACATTTACCACTTCAGAAAGCAGGAAGAGTTTGAATGTACTCACCATTTTTACGTGCATCGGTCTGTCAAACAGCAGCTGCCCGTTAAACATTGCTGTGGTTTCATTAAGGATCATTACTCAAGACCTAGGACCAAAGTCTTAAAGCTTTAAGCACTGCCTGATGCAGAGAGCAAAAGCCCAGTCAAACCATCACCTCTCTAGGCCACTTCTTCAGCTATCAGTCACACATTATCAAATATCCTTCTGTTTGTTCTAGAACAAAAAAAGCTTTGAAACCCAGATAACTGAATAGTCAAAGAATGGCTTTTTCAAATTAAAATGGGAGGTAAAAGAAAACACCCTTCTGCTTAAGTTCATCAAGAGATCACTCAAAATATGACTCCAAACCAGCCTAGGTGTTCACATATCTCATCAGTAACTTTAGCCATGTAAAACAGGAGAAAATAGGCAAAAGTTCAATGTTTCCAACTCAACCAATAGCCAGATTTGGACGTAAGCCTCAGTAGTGAATCACATGAAATTGTTGAAGTCTCACTCCCACAACACTTTCCTTATAATGTGCACATGCAGAATGGAATGAACATTTAAACAGCACCTTAGGGAGGGAAAAGAGGGAAATATTTTCTTCCTTTCCATAGCACAGCTCATGCACACAGAAGTATGGTTTGGGATTTGTGGATTGCTATGTAACACACCAGTCAAACCATCTTACACAGCAAGTGGATTTGGTGTTTCTTTGTCTCCACCATAGGAATTGAAGACAAATCCTTTCTCAGCAGCTGCATTTTAGTACTAGCTACAGCCTAGAGTGAGAAATTGACTATTTGGGCTAGATATACATATATTCAGGTACGAAAGAGAATCAGCTTTGTTAATGATTCAGAGCCTATAACAACAATTCTTTCAAGATGGACCTTCCTGTTTTCCAGTTTTCATTTTCCATCCAGTGCAATGGGTTGGCTGTGTCAAGGCAACATCCTCACTTATAATACCACAGTTGAGATTTCCATCCTGCTTTGTTTGCCAAGTTATTTGCCTACTGTTTACCACCATTACTCTTCAAGGATACATATAGCTTGAACAGCCTCTATGGCTTGCTCGAAAGTGACAGTGCCGATGCCACGACTTTTGCCATCTTTATCTTCAAGTATGTCTGCCCGAACCACAACTCCAGCCATGCTGAACACCTCCTTCAGTTTCTTCCAACCAACCTTGTAATCCAACTGGAAGACAAGAAATATTGGGAATAGGAGAAAGATTTCCATCAAAACCCAGTTTTAATGCTCCTTTGTTTCCCTTCCTGCTACGAGGCAGCTTCAGAAACAAAGTCTTCACAGAGTTTACACAGCACTTACATTTGCAACGAAGACAGTGCTCCCAAGTCTTCCTGCCTGTAAAGCATGGATGATCTCATTGGGTATGTTGGGGTTGTTGAGGATACTGGGAGGGATACTGATCATGCCGGGGCCACCTGGGCCTGGACCAACCCCCATTCCACTGGCTGCTGCCATGACCTTCTGCATCGCTCTCCTGGCGTGCTCCCCATCAGGGTCCTGCAGACATAGAAACAACACACTCTGTTCCCTCTGTACTGCACTAAGTGCCTGGGTACTTACTGGCATGACTAAGACATGCAAAAGATGGGGTACCCTTTACCCAGGGCTTCCTGTTCTCTACAGACACCCCCAGCCAACCACTTCACCCATTACTGCCACTCCCACACCCCCTTCCCAGTTTATTTTCTCCTAAGCAGCATGCCAGCAGCCTTCAAGTTATCCCAACTCCTGCGCTTCCCCGGAGCCTGAAAGAGATTATTGTTCTATCATTCAAGACCAGCAATAAGCCTCAGTTACATCTGCTCCAAAGACGACAAACCCAGAATGGCACTGGAGAGGCTTCAGAAGACAAATGCCAACTAACTCAACAACTCATCGACCTTGCACCTGGACTTCTTGACAAGCCAGGATAGTGTCAACACCAAGAATATTGGTTTGGGCAACGCTTTCCCCATCCCCACTGGCTTTCTAAGCCCAAAACACCTTTTAATGCATCCCCCTATTACTCCATAATTTCATTATTTCAGGACACGCTGGAGAACAAGAAGCAAAGGATGAAGAATTCAAGGAAGGAAATAAGACTCATTTTTGTCACTTTATACTCATGACTGTAAGCGCCTTCACAATAAAAGGTGAACCTGTTGCTTAGGTTGGAAACATCACACTCTATTCAGTAAGCAAAATGCACCGACTGCTGGAAGAAGGCAAAATATCAAATAGAATCAGTCAGAAATACAGCTTCTTCTTCTTCTATTTGAGTTAATTTGAGTCTTGATCTGAATTTGAAGACTAAACAACAGCATGTTTTGAGACAGGAGCAAGGATAACTTCCACAGGAGTGTTTCAGCTACAGGGAATCACAGCAGTGTGAGACGGAGAACATATTAAAGTGAATCAAGTCACTTCAAGTTTAATTTTCTATTTCATTGTTAAAATAAGGTATCACTTTGTCATGGTTTAAGCGCAACCAGTAACTCGGAACCACGCAGCCGCTCGCTCACTCCTCCCACTTCTTCCTCCCCCAGCTCATGGAGGGATGAAGAAGAGAATCAAGAGAATGTAACTCCCACAGGCTGACATAAGAGCAGTCCAGTAACCAAGGTATAACACAAAAATCACTACTGCTGCCACCATTAACAATAACGATAAGGGAAATAACAAGGGGAGATAATACAACCGCTCACCACCTGCCGACCGATACCCAACCAGACCTGAGCAGCGATCTAGCCCTTCCAGATAACTGCCCCCAGTTTATATAGTGGGCATGACGTGCTGTGGTACGGAATACCCCTCGGGCTAGTTTGGGTCAGGTGTCCTGTCCCTGCTTCCTCCCAGCTCCCCCTCCTCCCTGGCAGAGCAAGAGACTCAGAAAGTCCTTGGTCGGAATAAACATTACTGAGCAACAACTAAAAACACCGGTGTTATCAGCGTTGTTCCCAGGCTGAAAGTCAAAAACACAGCACTGCACCAGCTACTAAGGAGGAGAAAAGTGACTACTAATACAGAACAGGAGGTGGCTTATTCCATTAAAATGGAAATGAATCTTGGAAGGATTTCAGAAATCAGCCTGTTCTATGGATTTGTGTGTAGAATACATTCGTTAGGATGCAGAATTAAAAGGGAAAGCAGTCAAGAATAAACAATATTTATGCATATTTCTCCTTGAAAACACTAAACAAGAAAGCAGACCTGCAGTTAAAGCCAAACTCTTGCTCTGTCCAAGCTGTGCCCCCATCAGCACCTACTCTTAAAAAAAAAAAAAAAATCAAGCTTAGTCTTGATCATCATGTCCAAACTCAACCTCAGCAGTATGTGCCAATGGTAACAAGTGGCTCACTGTGCATTTTCAATCTTATTTGATAAGAATAACTGACAAAAGTTAGGACTTATCTACAATGCCATAAATCCAAGAACTACCCCTTCACCTTCAAATTCAACATACTGAAAGAACAGATGCACGTCTTACTTCTTTCACTTTCAATGGTCTTCCACCAAGACTATGCTTGTTCAAAACCTCCGCAGCCTTTTTCATGCTTTCTTCCATCTTGAATTCAACAACACTGTGGGGATACAAGACAGCTAAGAACATTGCTGATCTCTGAAGAGTTTCCTCATTTCTTGCTATAAACTCAGAAGTGAACTTACGCGCATCCCTGATGAGGCGATTTCACAGGCGATTTCACAGGGAGGAGGGAAGAAAGAAGAAATCAAGTCAGTAAAAGCACAACATACACAACTCATTTACTTTGCTTTAAAGTCAAATCACATTAGTCAGCCCTAGTAGCAAAACCAAACATAATCTTACGCAATAAAGCCTCCAATACTTGAATTCCATAAGATATAATTTGTGTTAATGGGGTTAAACTGTCGATTCTGAAGTTGGAACAAACAGAACTAAGTCCCGATTCTCCAAGAAGAATACCACACGCTTCACGTGACCTGATCTTCCCTGGCATCCAGCAAAGCCCTCAGCATATTCTCTCACCCTAAATCCATCTCCTTCAACAGTAAGTGTGCTCCTAGTGGGTTTTTCCCTGTGAGATACTGTCACTGGACTAAAGGACCTATGAAGGCACTATACATTTATGCACAGGAACTAACTTCCTGGCACAGGAAGTGTACTTACAGAACCTGCTCTTGCACACTAGCCTTCCAAATTCAGCAAACCACTACAGTGACGTTATCCAAAACGCAAGGATTACATTACATTCCATAACACTATACATACTGCTAGGGTCCCTGGGTCATTCAAACAGCCAACGCCAACTGAACACAGTGGAAAACCACCCTAACGCTGGTTACGAGGCCCCATCCCACCTCCACCCACCCCAAAAGCAGCTTTAAGCAGCCCTATGGTGTAGCCACTAACCATACACACTCTCTACCTTCCTGACGCCACCATACAGTTACATTTGGCATGTAGAAAATCCACAGAAGAAAGCTCTCAAACACTTACCCTTGACTTTCCTTCAGCGTCCATTAAGAGCTCCACGTATGTTACCTCACCAACTACAAATCAGATTCCAGACGACACATATACCAAGGGAGAAAAGCCAAGAAAACAATGGGAATTTAGAACAATCAACAACCGTGTATGGAGCCTCTGCCTTATAAGCAAGCCCAGAAACACTCCATGTTCTCTAGACCACAAAACTGGACAATTACAGGTATGCAGTGAAGTCTTAAACCAGTTAAATATGTTCTTGATTTTCCTCCATTTCAAAAGCCAGCTATTGCCACAGTACCTCTTGCCTTGATCTCTAGTACTCAATCCTTACTCGAGGCAATCCAAATCCATAGGAAAGTCTGCAAGAACAAGTCTCCTTCACTTCTCCAGTATGAAACCCTGTCTCCATAGTCCAGGACTTGAAGTTATTTGCTTTTCTCTGGACTTAAAGACCAACTTCAAAGGGAGTCACACTCAGTCAACACCCAGCTGACTGCCTACTATTTATCTCAGTAGGTTGTCAGCCTTTAGTTAAGCCACAATCAAGTCTATTTCCCAGCTTCAATAAATAGTATGAAACAGCTAGATGTACTTGCTCTCAATACAAAACCATCTACAGCAAAGCACACCAAAAAAACACAACATTAGCACCTTTCCTCCCAAGATCAGGACTGCCTTTTTATGACCACAGAACCACATCCTGTACCTTCAGAACACAACTCCAAAGCAGCTGCTGCCTGTGAAGTGACTGGGGTACAGAAGGATCAAAGAAGTAAAGAGGTTTTTACTTCTTCTTTGTGGTTTTAGAAAGTCCTAGCTTTTCAGTTTAAGACAGGAAGACTCCAAGTTGCATTAGCTGAAAGGTGGGAAGCAGTCTGTGGAAAACCACTTCCCAGCGTGAATACTGACAGCAAGCTTTGAATAAGGAACTCGAATCTCACATTCAAGAGTCTAGTTCTTAGCAAGGGACAGAGGGAGGAAGAGGTGACCTGACCTCCCACAGGACCAGTCATCTGTAGGACACCCAGTGTCATGATGTGAAATGAACATCTGAAAAGTCTCTGTCAATGCTGGAAGAAAAGGAATACTTCGTGAAATCACCACTTTAGCTCCTTGCTTTTTATTTCAATACATAAATAATTAGCAATAGCAGCATTCCAGCCAGAGAACATTCACGGAATCACAGACTGGTTTGAGTGAATGGACCTTAAAGCCCATCCAGTTCTAGCCCCCTGTCCCAGGCAGGGACACCTTCCACTGGCTCCATCCAACCTGGCCTTGAACACTGCCAGGGATGGGGCAGCCACAGCTTCTCTGGGCACCCTGTGCCAGCGCCTCAGCACCCTCACAGGGAAGAGCTTCTGCCTAAGAGCTCATCTCAGTTTCCCCTCTGGCAGGTTCAAGCCATTCCCCTTGGCCTGTCCCTACAGGCCCTTCTCCAAAGCCCCCCTCCAGGTTTCCTGTAGCCCTTTAGAAACTGGGAGCTGCTCTAAGGTGTACCCGGAGTCTTCTCTTCTCCAGGTTGAACCAGCCCAGCTCTCTGAGCCTGTCTCCAGAGCAGAGCTGCGTCAGCCCTCAGAGCATTACCTAGAGTTAACTAGAGAGAATAAACAAGCTCTGATCCATTCATGTGTTTGTGAGGATAGCATTTGAGACTGGTAGAGAGTAACAAGTCCCTTTGAAAGAGACAGGGTAGATGAGTGTCCTATTACTATCCATAGCTCCACTATCGAAACAATACTCCCTGAAATATAGCCTAACGAAATTAATTCCATCCCATGATCTCATCAGTGTGGGATCTGATCAGTATGGGATCCTATAGTGTACACAGAATTGTTTCCATAGTCTCTGTAGTGAAAGGGGCTGCACTGTAACTAGCCCTCCTGGCCTAGTCCTTGGTGGTACATGGCAGCCAGGCACCAAGCCCAAGCCTACAGCATTACCAAGACATTCTGAAGCCATCCATTCCAACATCAGCAGCCAGAATCCAACCCAACTGTGTTCATAGAATGCAAGTGTCATTCATCAATGTATGTAGTAAGAAATTCCCCGATCACCTGCAATACCAAACCACTCCATCTCACAGAGGCCAGAAGCCCCTAGACTGAAGGCTCTCCTCTTCCAATCACTAATAGAGTTCAGCTACAATTCCTACTTCAGATCCATACAAACACCTCCAAAGGAGTTTGCCAAGCTTGAACATAACATATTAAGTACAGCTCTCTGCCCTCTGAGCCACAAGGTTTCAGGAGTCTGTTACAGCAGCACTTGTCCATCACTTGGAAGATCTTTTATGTGCCACTTTTGCTCAGTGCTTCACGTTCAAGCCTTATAGACACCTATAGTAAAAACGAAGTGTACATCCTGAAGTAGCTGTTCTCCTTCCAAGGAGATGTGAACTTCATGAAGAGCCAAATTAAGGAAGCAAAAGCGGAACACACATGTCATGTACCAGCTCAGTATCCGAGACACCAAGTCCAGAGTACAGAACTACTGCAAGAAAAATGCCTTCCCCACCACCACCACCTGAAAAAACATAAAACAATTCAACATGACCCTTGTTCCAAGAGACTACTGTTTGAACCTGGCAAAGGAAACTTCTTTAAGAGCCTGTACTGGGTCACATCTGATTTGGCTTTTTCTAGATCCCCAAACCATTGGATACAGGAGCAAGGGCAGTCTACAACAGTGCACAGAAAATAAAGCCATGGAAAAGTACCCAGAGCAGACAGCCCAGTACTAAATCACTTCAGAAGGCAGATGTAGCGCCCAGTGATCCAGGCAGGTTTTCCTTCTGCCAGAGAGGAGTTGGTTTTTATGAGGAAACAGATCCTGGATCCACAAGTGAAGGAATTTCATCCAAGCACATGAGACTTACTTAAGGAACTCAGTAAGTTCCTACTGGAGATGAAACTTGCATGAAACACTAGCTGCAAGTCAATGCAAGTATCATTAAGGAACATGTTCCCCATCATGTCCTTAAAACTTAGATCAGACTGATGGGTTTCTTTATTAACCTCATACTTGAGAAAGTCAGAAACTCAGTTTCCTGAACAAGGGACTGAAGTAGAAATCACTGTAAGAACTCAAAGCACAAACCAAAGGAATCTCCAGTGTTACTTACTACAGCAATTATCCCACCCCCCACCCCCCCCCCCCCCCAACTTTATATCCATTTCCCAAAGTTTATCTGCACAGAAAGTGAAGCCATTCAAGCCAGGCTGGTCCGTCAGAACTCTCATACTCTCAAGTGACTGCTGAAGTTCAGGTAAGTTTGCCTGTATGGTGATTTTAGGCACGGCTCAGATGGCTTTCCCTGGCCCTAAAGACAGGGCAAGTACCTAGGATACAAGCTCAGACACAGATGTCAACCTCAAAGAGTCTTAAGATGGACAAGACGAGTTGAACAGTGACAAACCAAGCAGCAGTGAAAGGTGTGAAAGGTGTAGAGGCAAGTCTCAGCAAAAGGAGAAACACAGAACATGAAGAAAGGATAAATGCTTTCTGTCAGTTATGTCTTTGGCCTAGAGGGTCAAAAGTGAATACTAAGTAGAGAAAGAAGACTCTCAAGACGTTATCAAAACTATATGGATGTCTCATCCTCTTATGAAGTAAAGAGCTACAAGTAGTGTGACTGATTCAAGAGGACCCTGTGATAAGGAACCCGGTACTTTCAACACGAGGCAATTCAGAGGTGGTCACAGCTCCTCCATCTACAGTTTAAAGCTCACAACAGGCAACCCCTAAAAACTTATGTGGTGGTTTGGGCTGGGGAGAAAGAAGAGAAACACACTTTATACACTTAAAAAGTTGTAGTTAAATGGGGAGAAGGAAAAACTCTCGCACAAGAACCCAGGAAAAACCACGGATAATTTTGGCTCTTTCAGAGCTGATGTACGAAAGAGGGAGTGAAAAGGCTCATCGCAGCCACTGGTGAAGAACAGTGTCTCCTTGAAAAGATAGTTAAGGCCAATGACATTAAAGCAACTCCTCAGCACACATCCTGAAAGTAAGGGGAACAAGTCAGATGGAAGCAGCATTTCCACATTGCTTAATTGTCTCTTTCTCTTTACCCACCTAAAGCTTCAGCCTGCAAGCACACTGCACTAGAATCCTGAGCACCCAAACCCAGGGATTTTCCAGAGCAACTGTTTGCAGGTACTGCTGGAACAGAAGTGCTCTCCAGTGGTAACATCTGGGAGCTGTACCAACCTCTGCATTGAATACGATAGCAAGAGGTACTTTTTAGGAGGCCACAAAGGTTCCAAAAATTCCTGGGGATGAAGCAAGAATGAAGGCAGCACATGAAGCTCAGCAGCTGCTGCTCTTTAAAGGAAGTTCAAGCTGGAAAAGCTTTGTGGCTTCTATTCCTCCCCAGGTTTTGATCCGAGGAGGTAAGTGCCTGCTCCGTATTCCAGCTCTGCCCTACAGAATGGTAGATACAGCCATGCCAACACCAAGAGTCTCTGGGGTGTCCTGCATCCTCTGAATTGTTTCAAATACACAATTCTCTATTTCCTAAAGGAACCAAGAAATCTCTGAATTCAAATACAAGTTCTTTTGTATCATATGATACCACCTTACTCAACCAGCTGCCATGAAGCATTACGACTTCTCTCCTTAAGACAGAGCTGTCTACTGGGGGGACAGACACATTCCCACTCAACCATGTTTAGACTCAGCTTCCAGGCTGCCCCATTCTTCTCCTGAAGCCATTCACCAATTGCCAGCTCTATGCTGATCATGTCACTTAGTAGAACCTTGTGCTCATTAGCCAATACGAGGGAGTTTCAAACAAGAACATCTTTTAATATCATTAATAACTGTTGTACTGCATACCTGTAATTGAGTTTCACCAACAGATACACTGAAATGCCTGAACCAAGGCATTACTCTTGCGAGATGGCACCTTTAGAAGACTGTACACATCTGAAGCGACCAGGTTGCAGAAATGTGAGCAGACCTCAAAGCTCACGTCTCCTAACCCATACTTACTGCCACAAACCAGCTGGAGGGGAACTCCTCCACGTTCAGCAACCTGCTATGCCAGTGCTGCTAACAGCTGAAGCCTTCACGACTGCCAAGCACTGGAGCAGTCCTGAAACACCTAGATTTCCCCTTTGTGTACTGTTCCACATGCTCCCCAAACTTGGAACTGTTGGCCTGCAATTCTTAGACTTACAAAGCAAGAATTCTAACGTTTAGATTTTACCACAGCCACATTCCTGGTTCTTGGAACTACTATGCCTTGTATCAAGAAGTCCCAATTGAGCAAGTTCAAGCACAGCCCAAGAGCACTGATTTGTTAGAAGTCAACGACTGATTAGAATGCAATCAGATCTAAACCGGTGGATTTTAACAAGCAGTCCCAAAAACCATGAACAATGCTTCCCAGGCTTTAGCATAACAAGCCCTGAAGACAGAATGAAGAGGTTTCAACGTTCCCCTAGGAGTATCTGCTGGAATGAGCAGCTGAACAGCAAGGCAGGAAACAATCTCACACCGGACTTTTCCATCCACGTGAACTGGAGAGAAACCACAAGACACTTGGAACGGAATTCAACAGGGTACTTAAAATTAGACATCTACACATACAGGTACTCCTATTAACCAATGATCTTGGGCAGCAAAGTGAAAGCATAGTTTGAGGCAAGGGACCATTCATAATTAGGGCCTTGTAAAGCAGTTTTTAAGACTAATTCTTCATATCAAAGAAAACCATTGCTCAGTCTCAGGCATGGACATTCCACGGCCTCTAATTACGGAATCTTCCCAGGGCTCACATCCTGACTGCCCTTACAAGACTCAAGTTCCGGTTTACCTCCAAAGACAAAGATTTTCAAACCCTTTGGAAATTTGTTTTCCCCTTCATTAGGCCACACCTTGTAAACACATTAACTCTCATTCCTTCCCTAGTGCAAACACAAGTGAACACTAATCACTCTTTAGGACAGATGCTATGTATTTTAGCAGTGACCCACAAGAGGAATTGTTGCCTTAGTTACTCTTGTTCTGAATCATTTTGATGATGGAGAAGCTACGTATTTTCTTGCCGCTCCACTGCATTTCCAAGGTGATTTGAAAATTAAAGAAGTTAGGCACCAGCTTAAAGAAATAGCACTACATTTAGGCTTGCCACAACCCAAGTAGCAGCTTAATGTCTTCATCATTTCCAAAAGATAATGATGATAAAGTCAAACTAAGGCAACTCCCATTCCCATGGGACAATTAAATCCAAGTGGGGAAGGGGGAAGCACCATGAACACCATTTCCAAAGCCCTGTCTTGCAGCACATGACAAAGCACAAACCTCCTTTTTCTTTTGTGCAAGTCACCCTTAAATAGATTTTACTGCAACCAAATGGCAGGATGGATCTTTATCTAAGCACAAATCACTACAAAGCTGGGGACACAGCTATATATACACACACCAGGGCAGCAGTAAGGAACTACCTTTATTACCCATAAGACAGTAAAATGCTTCAGGAATTTTGTTGCACATCAAGGCTAAAACCTGATAAATATCTCATTTCCCCCCCTAAGAAAAATACTCTGTTAGATCTCCGATAAAGCACTACCAGCTCTATGCCAACATGACTAGAAAGAAGCATCCATCTGGAAGGCTGCCAGGGAGCAGATGCTGTGCAACACCCAAGAAGGCTTCGAGAAGACCTTTTCCGAAGCTCATGGCACTAAGTCCACCCAGCACGTCAAGTGGTAAGTTCACAAACAAAGTCAGCCACAAGTAAGATGACAGACATCACTTGGCCACCTGAGTTGTACATTACCTTTCTCTTTGACCAGGTCTTTCAGAGACTGCCACTTCACATCAAAGGGAATATTTGTAATAAAAGCTCGGTATCTCTTAGCAGGATTAGCATATGGCTCAAAGCGATTTCCTCCTCTTTTGACACTTTTCTCTTTCCTTTTTTCATTTTGGCTTGGTCGTTCACCTTCACTGCAAGCAAAGAAAGATAATCACATACATTAACTACTCTGGCATTGGACCAGGGTCATACCACCTCTGGGAACAGAACTTGTTACATTCTTAACACTACAGCAAAACTTGCAAAGTTCCATCCATTCATCCTGGCACAACTGGACACCTCTCAACCAAAGCTGGTGCTCACAGCACCAGAGCTACACGGTGGAGACTGCAACAAAGATTTCCTAATAGCAGACCACTTATGCCTTGAAGACCCACTGGTTCCTCCCACATTTATCCAACATAACTCAAGGTTGCTATTTCATAAGCTGAATCTCTTTAAAGCCGACCAAGCCTCAGTCCATCTCCTTGTGACACTCCAGACCAGACAGTTCACCCTATGTATATTCTCCCCAGCCACTCCACTGCTGAAACACCAACTAGGTCAAGTAATTAAACACCATTTAGTCAAGTAAAAACTGACCCACCAGAACTATAGTCTTACACTGGAAGAATTGTAACAAAATAATCCTGGATCTAACTGAACACTCGGGTCAATGACTCTTACCTAAACCCACCTTTTTTTCCTCTAATTAATAGAGGTTTTGGATTACAAATTCAAAGCCTCTGTGCATTCCACCCAACAGACTGAACAGTGCTTTTAGCTACTTCAGAATCCAGCTCCAACAGGTCAAAAATGAAAAAGCATTAGAAATTAAGACTATTTCTCAACCAACCCCGTGACCCTCAGGGCTCAGCAGAACACAAATGCTGAATAACAGTATTTAAAACCCAGGAGAATGAAACACTTCAGACTCAGCCAGACACAATTTCCATCACTAATCCAATTAATCTCCTTGTTCACTTTATACTGGTTGAGAAGTTGCAAAAACACACCTTTAGAAAGAATTCAGAACATGGAAGTCAAAACAGCTAGTCAAGTTTCTAAACTTGTCTGCACATACACTGAGCTTTGCTCAACTTAAGACCTACAAAGTGCAAACCACGTGAGAAACACTGTCTCTGATGTAAACACAGGCCTGCACCAGCACTGCCCTTAGAGCCATTTCAATCACTGCACGCATACAACAGCCTGCAGGGGAATAAAGCAAACAGGTACACAGACAGCTCTACATTTGAGCAGGTTCCCCGTTTTATCACTTTTCAGCCACAAGGATATGTTACAAGCAAACACACAATAATATTGTATTTTATGGATACAGCCAGAACCACAAACAGAATTTGGCTCCAAGTACAACTATTATCACTTTATGCCAAGAACAGGCTCTGCATGCAAGTAATAAGCTGGAAAAAAGATATCTACTCAAATAAAAAGTGCTTTCTAGTTACACACAGTATTTACTTCACAAAAAATGACATTTGTTAGACCTTCCCTCACTGGACTTCTTAAAAGAGTCTTGAATAATGAAGTAATTAAAACCCTAAAAATAGATTAAAAATAGGACAGTCCTTCCAAGACCTTAACTTCTGTTTGGCTGAACAAACAGCACAACATTTAGTGCTTGTATGCAAAGCTACACCCCAGGTTTTATGGTTATTCCTCCAACTGGAACTAGTTACAATTCCCCTGGGCTGAAGTGCTGCATAACACACTCTGAAGTAATGTGTACAATGCAGGCCTTTTCTGCAGTCCCGCATTTAAGGTTCCCAAGTCAGCTTCAGAACACCTTAAGCTTTGACACACCTGGGTAGAACTCAGACAAACCACAATACCTGCTGTTAAAGACAAGCATTAACCTAAAACACCATTCCTTATTTAGTATACAAACCCCAGCAAGGTCAAAAGGAAACTACTGCAGCTGCAAAGTTGTTTTCTTCTGCAGGATTTCAGACAGCTCCTCCAGGGGTTTCACACACAGGGACAAGGACAGGCACAGGTCCACAGAGATTACTTAGATGTGGTTAACAAGTGCAAAAACAACTGCTTACAGCATTTTTCAAGGGAGTTGTAGACAGCAGAAAGATATGAGCCCCACATCACCTCCAAAATACACCATGGGAGTAACCCCAAGTATCCATATCTCTAAGAAGGGCAAGGGAGATGAAATACAGACAGCAGCTTTGCCCATCCCATGAAGGAAGCACTCTGAGCAACAAGGCTCCATTTACATCAAGGCTTACACAAGATCTACAGAAAATAATGTATTTAAGTGGCTCTTTTCAGAAGATATTTTATTTACTGTGGGGTTTTCCCCCTGGGTTACAGAACTAAAACACTTCACCCAGTCTCCCCTTTGTGATGTGTGTAGGAGGAACTGAAAGGGGAGCTCTTATCTCTTCCAAAGAAACAAACTGTTATGCACATTCCTCTCCAAATTTTCTTAAACACGCCCCCTCCGCCCAACAAATGTCCCAGAGATCACTAGGAATTGAAATCCATATAGGCACATCCTCCTCCCTGCTCGAGGACACTGAAAATACATTCGCGAACGTTGGCGTTACCACTGGAGACGTGTCAGCTTTGCCACATGGAGCTCAATGCGACAGATAGAACTGTACCTGGATAAAGGAAAAACTCTCTGGAGAGACTCCGAACATAATGGGGGCTAGGGGTGAGATGAGAACAAAGCAGCAGACATCTTTGCCTGTATGAGGAGACTATTCCTGAAGTGTAAGACACTTCTGGAGAAGAGAACATGACAGGAAGATCCTTCTCCAGCAGTGGCTAATGTATTATATTATATGTCACCAGAGCACGAGCCATTGTGGCACTGGGATCGGGACAAGCCTGTTCCTGCCTGGCAGGAAGAGTTGCATGTGCTGATATTGTTCCAGTTGCCATAAGCACAATTTAACTATTTTGTGTTGGAAAAAGAGAGATATGAACATTTTACAGCAAAAAGCAGCACCTGGGAAGCTGGTTAGCTTCCTGCTCTTGTGAAACAGCACCCACAAGCTCCAGCAGCAAAGGCAGAGAGCGGTTTCCCAACTCAAGAAACCATCATCTCCTCTCCATAACCAGTTATGTGGTTACCTACAGACTCCCGAGCTGGTCTCACTCAGATCTGTCAGCTTTGGCCAGGCTACAGGCACGCAACATGCCTGGGTGTAACAGCCTGCAGCAACCAGCAGCCCAAAGGCACACAGGTATGTAACACACCTCAGGAACAAACCTGGCCTCGAGTCTCAAACGTTACTCACAGAACATCAGGTTCAAAATCCTGATTCTTATCTCCACAGCATTCAAGGCCTGGGGCCAAAAATTAACTGGAAAAAATACTCCATTCAACAGACTTAGTATTAGCTAACAAATAGCTTTGCTAACTATGAAATTTTCCAGAATTAGGTTACATGAACACAGGATGGCAACAGGCAGTTCCAGCTTTCTCATCTCCACATTTACAAACCCACAGCTGTAACCCCTGCAGGTTCCTTGTTAACTTTCTGTACCATTTATCGACATCACACACACCACCTTTACTTAGTGCTTGGCATCCCCTTCATGCTCTCACTCATGAGGCATTTATGCATCAATTCCCAACCCCCTCCACTCGTAGCCATGGCACAGAGCACGCTTTGCTCCAAACCCTGCAGCAGCATAAGGCCAAGTCGAGAAGAGTTTAACTATTACAACTTATTACACGTGAAACCAAAGTAACGAACTAAGGACAATCCTGTGCCTCCAGGAGAGGGTTTAAGCTGTCCGCTGAGGCCCAGCACAAACACCTCCAAAGCGGAGGCAGATATCCCCAGGACCTCCCTGGCGGCCATACACCGGGGCCTGGAGCCGCACAAAGCACCGACCCTTGGCACCGGCTCCTTCCCCGCTCCTCCTTCAGGCTCCGGGAGCCCCGGAAGCGCCTTCCCAGTGAGCAGGCCTCGCCCGGGCTCCCAGGGTGTGCCTGGAAGCGAAGAGGGGCCCCAGCCCCAGCAGCGGCTCTGGTCCCAGCGCACGCCCCGCCGAGAGAAGCCTTCGAGAGGCGGCGGCGGAAGCCCCGGTTTCCCTGCCTGGGCCCGGGCCGGCGGTGCGGGCAGGCCGCATGCGGCGCCGCAGGCCCTGGCGGCAGAGCGGTCTCACAGCGGCCCCCCCTACCTCTTAGGGGGCGGCCCCACAGCACCCCCGGCCCCGTTAGGTGGTTGCGGAGCCGCCGCTGTCGCCGCGGCAGCCGCGGGTGCCTCTACTTTGCCGCCGGCGTTCTCCGTGGCCGCCCCGACCGCCGCTGTAGCCGCCATTTTCCCAGCGCTGCGCCTTTGTGTGAGGAGAGCCCGCCCCGCGGGCCGCGCGCGAGGCATGCCGGGACGGAGCCGCGCAGGCGCACTGCGGCTTCCCCGCTTCCCGCGCACGGCTGAGGCGATGAGGGGGAGGCACCGGGGGTCTGAGGCGGCGCCGCCCGCAGAGCGGGTGTGAGCGAGCCCCACGGGGACATGGGGTGGGCGGAAGGCTCCTTAAGGCTCAGCCAGCACCTGGCAGGGCAGGGACCCCTTGGTCGATGAAGTTATCACGCCTGAACTCTGTCGCTTGGACTCAGTCACTACAATATTCCTTGATCGAATACATCTTAACAAGTAGAAACTTTCCACCTACAGCTGGTGCTTCTCAGAGATCCATCCCGATCGAGCAGATCAATGCTCTGATGAGAAAGCACTTTTGACCTGAAATAAGAAGAAGTCGGCTGTTAACCAACCTGATGGGTCTCTAAACCAGGTGGGCTCATGCCATACACTGTACCCCTGGGGACTGCAGGAACTGGGTATCTTCTGGATATCAGCCACATGCCATTGATGAGACATTTCTGCAACAAAAAGGGAAGGTTTGGTGTACAATACAAGAGGACAGAAACCCAGAAGAGCCCAAGAAGAAAAGAAAGAACACCGCAAACAGACAGCATTGAGTGTGCTCCTGAGAAAACATCCCAAAGTGCTGCCAAGAAACACTGGAGGCTGACTGTAAAATCACAGCATCCCAGCCTGGGTTGGGTTGAAGGGACCTTAAAGCTCCTCCAGCTCCAACCCCTGCCAGAGCAGGGACCCCTTCCACTAGAATACCTTACTGCAAGCCCCTATGTCCAACCTGCCCTCGCTCCCTACAACTGCTGGACGGGAGGATGGAGCCAGGAGGGGGCTGGTCTCTGCTCCCAAGGAAGAAGAGAAAACAGCCTCAAGCTTATTGGGATGAGATTGTATTGTGATACCGGGAAATAAAGGGTTAACATTGTGCCTGCTTGCTTAAGCAGTCGCTGTGCTTGGTGAAGCAGAAATGTAGGAGTCAAAGTTGCTAGAATGGTGAAGCAGAATTGTAGGGAGTTACAGCTGCTAGGCAGAATTGTAGTAGATAAGATTCATAGCTTAATATTTAAGACATTATTGTCCAAATAATATCTTTAGAAAGAAAAGGAACAAAAGATAGCCAGAGTAACAACATTTACAAACTTGACAAGTTTCTACTTTAAGATACATAAAACTGGCTTGTACTGAACCTGAGGTTTGGACAGGAGCCGAAACCCTATTGAGTCTGCGTGAAAGCAAGAGGTTACTCGCGGTGATGAAGAGGAACTACAGGCCTTCATCCTCATGACCCCCTAACGACCACCACCAGGAGGCACTGCGCAAGCGCACCAATGGGACAAATGCCAGAAAACTAATTATAATACTAGACGGGAATACGTTTTGCATATGTATTAGGCGTGAAGCAATCTCGTTTAGGTAATCATTATATGTAATATAAACGAACTGAGTGGCAAAGGGGGGCGCGCATGCTTTTGGAGGAGAAACCCCCATGTGCCTCAGCGCTGAATAAAGCATACCTACTTTACAACTCTAACGAGTTGTGGAGTCAGTCCGCGTATCAACTGTATCAGGCCAAGCGTATCTTGGGCTGCATCTCCATGACCTCTGGACTCACTCCAGCACCTCCAAGTCCCTCTTGTGCTGCTGCCCCAGAGCTGGGTGAGGACTGCAGGGGGGGTCTCCCCAGAGCGCAGCAGGACCTGTTCCTGCCATGCCAGGCCCGTTGTCCTGATGAGCACACAAAGCCTTGTTGGACACCGTCAGCCAGCTCAAGGCACAAAGTTGAGCAGTGAGGAATATTCATCCCACAGAGAAACAAGTCTGGCTCTAAGGGCTTTCCTCCACTGGAGGGCAGATCATGCACAGACATGTGCAGGGTGAGGGGGCCTGTCCTATTCACACGCAAGGAACCCCCAGGCTGCTTCCTGCTGACATTTCTGAGTCAGTCAACAAAATCAGAAATGAGGAATGCCAAATTAGTTATCTGCACCTCTAAAATCAACCCAGGTTTACTAATGAGAGCCATCACACAAGGCAGCCGAAGGTCCAGCCATCCGCAAGCACTGGAGATGCCTGGGGCGTGCAAGTTCTGCATGGAGTTTAAATGCAAAAGTTAAGAGCGTGGAAGAAGGGAGCAGCATTGAGCTACCCGAGAGCCACACACAAGCATTGCACGGACATGCAGGGACAGAACTGGAAAAGCCAGAGTTCAGCTGTGCTTGGCTGAGGACCAGAGGAAGAAGGGTAAGTTCACCATGTGAACACCTTGCCCTTCTCCCATCTGCTGTGGGTTTATAAAGAGCCATTCTCTGCCACAAGACAGATGGGGTTTATCTTAGTGTCCCTTCTCTTTTCCAAGTACAGAATTGGCACAGTCCATGGTTCACCTCACACAGGTGCACAGCTGAGTTAATGACACCTTAGACCCCATCATTTTCTGAACCCAAAACTCCTCCTGCTCACTGCAGTGGTAAGGCACACAGCCAAATCAGGTCCAAACTCATTTCCACCTGCACATTTCACTGCACCCCTCTTTCAGCCAGCCCCCTGCATGCTGTCATGGCCAAAAAGCCACACACACTTCCTAATATCCACCATTTGCATCCATGGAAAGGCAGAGCTCCCTTCTTTCCTGCTAGGGGAGCCAGCATTCCCAGAGGATCATTTTGGAGCCAATACCCACCAACAACATCAGATTGAAGATGCTCTCACAGGATGCAATCCCATAGCTGGCACAATGGTGGAGGCCCTTGACTCAATAATTCCAAGCATGAACTTAACCACCTCACCAGAAATGCAGAGAACATCTAGGAAGCTGTAGCCTCCTTCTTGTCTTACCCCTCCTTGGGCAAGGCCTTGCAAGATGCAGGTGTTTGCACTTGCCAAGATCCATCCATGTCCTTCTGTCAGATGGTTTCTAGCAAGCAGCATGGCCAGCAGACCCAGGCAGGCTGATATAACCAGGCCCCAGGAAGGCAAGGAGGAGACAGACTCAGCTCCATAGTGAAATCAGGGCTACTTTACATTCAGAAGCTATTGACTTACGTTAATAACAAAACTGTGCATAGCAACCAGTGTGAAAGCACTTGAGCATCATTCCCATAGGTTGCCAGAGGCCTCCCCTTCGAACTGACACCTTATGGCTCTCAATGTATTGGTTTCTTCTGGAAGTGCCTTTCCCAAGGCATCCTGGCTGTCCCACTAGAGGCTTCTGGACTTCAACCACCTGAAAGCCCCACTCACCTCTACAAGGCTCGGGGCTGTTGGATTCCGCACCGAGGGATGCTCGGTGCTTCGAAAGCTCCATTTCCCAGGCTCACACAGGGAGTGTCCCCAAGTGGTGAAGCCTCACACTGCCAGGAAATAATGACTCACTACAGCAATCAGCAAAAATCCCTGCCCAGGGCTCATCATACGCAGTATTTCTTGCAACTGAGGCCCTCACAGTCAGGGATGGAAATACCCCCATGCACCAAGATAGAACAGAGCTCTGAAAAGAGGATGTGGGGACAGCAGAAATGATAACATCTCTCTCTGTCAGTTAAGAAGGGGCTGTAGGTGTCACACACACACATTTGAGACTATGAGCAAGGCCCTCTCACAGGCACATGGTGCTGTGCTGGCACTGCTTGGGCACTTGGTAGTAGTTGCCACCAGTGCTCCAATGTGTTCTTTTGAGGGGGCAGGAAAGAGGGAGGGAAGGGGTTCATCCAGCCACTGTTGGTGGGATGCTGGAGGTGGAGAGTCCATGGTGTGTAACAGGGCTGTCCAGGGAGTGATCAGACCCAAACCAAGGTGCCCACTCCATGCTTAAGCTTCTTGAGAGGGAAGTTCAGAGCAGGACCAGGGGAGGTCATAGAGATGCTGCAAGGGCTGGAGCAGCTCTGTTCTGGAGCCAGGCTGAGAGAGCTGGGCTGGGGCAGCCTGGAGAAGAGAAGGCTCCTGAAGGGGAGACCTTAGAGCAGCTCCAGTGCCTAAAAGGGCTGCAGGAAACCTGGAGAGGGGCTTTGGCCAAGGGCCTGTAGGGACAGGCCAAGGGGAATGGCTTGAACCTGCCAGAGGGGAGACTGAGATGAGCTCTGAGGCAGAAGCTCTTCCCTGGGAGGGTGCTGAGGTGCTGGCACAGGGTGCCCAGAGAAGCTGTGGCTGCCCCATCCCTGGCAGTGCTCAAGGCCAGGCTGGACACAGGGGCTTGGAGCAAGCTGCTATAGTGGAAGGGGTCCCTGCCCATGGGAAGGAGTTGGAACTGGATGAGCTTTAAGGTCCCTTCCAACCCAAACCAGTCTGGGATTCCATGAAGTGAAAGTGCTGCAGAGTCCCCAGTGCTACCTCTGTTAATGAAAACAACCCCCCTCCACTGGAATGACTCCGCTCCCCCTTTGGACACTTTCTCTCTCCCACACAGCATTCGCCAAGCAAGTTCCATCACAGTGGAACATGCCGCATCTGTCTCAGCCCAGCCAGCCCAACCTCTGGTTGCCTTCACCTGACAGTTCCCATGCTGCTCACACAGCTCTAAAGGCCTGCTTTGAGGGAATCAGAGACTCAAACCACTTTGAGGGTTATTAGTCAGGTTTAAGCCTATTTTTAAACAAAACACTTTCACACATCATGAGGCAATTTTCACATTGGTCTTTGGTTCCAGCTGAAGTAGTCTGAGCCTGATTTTGAAGATAACTCTGGTCTTGGTAAGTAAAGTGGGGTGCAGACAACATCCCTCATAAGTATTTGGTAACTTGCAAGACCTTCCACAGCAAAATCAGAAACCAACAGCTTCTACCACCAAAACCAGGAGATGAAACAGTAGGCAAAGTCCTTCTCCTACATCAGCCCATACAGGCACCAGCTGCTCCACTCAAGGCATGGTCCCCTCTGATGCAGCACATGTGCACAGGCAGACACACAGCGAACATGGAAACTGCACTCCTGAGAGAGGAAAGGCAGAGGAACATGCAGCAGTTCCCCTATGACTACATGCAACACCAATGCCCAGGGGAGGGTACATGTATTTCTGA